CGGAAATGACTCGACGGCACATAACAACAACAACAACAAATATTTTTTATTTATTTAGGATGTCTGAGAGGTGATATAAATTTACAGGTATGTTTCCTGTCATTGGAGATGAAGCAACTACATAGGAAAGTAAAAAATAAAGGCTGCTCATTAACTAATTAACTTCCCTCTCTCCTTTTTTTTATATTTTATTTTTTTTTATTTTTTAGGACTTACTGGTGGGAAGTTTTTACAGAGAGTTCGAGTGAAGAGGCCTGGACAAGAAGTCTTTAAAAGTGAATTATCAGAATATATCCAACCTGAAGAGCTGTATGTTGGAGCCAGAATAAATGTGAATGGCTACATATTTCATTTGCTTAATGCTGATGAATATACCTTTAACTACATGGAGCATAATACTGATAAGGTAAAGTTATTTTGTTGATTTCTCTTTACTACTCAGCACTAAACTTTTATTTCTTTTTTAATCTTCTGGTGCTTTTTCTTCCTTCTTGCCACTGGTTTTATATTGTGCATTCACACATGTGAGTATGAATAATGGATCAGCATAACTTGGCCCTGGCTCTTGCCACAGAGGCCAGGACCTTGTCTACTCTGCTTATATATTGGGTTCTCCACCGCCCAATATCAATGATTATAGGCACAGGCAGGAGACAGGAATAGCATTGAATCAAGTTTTTTTGGGTTTGTTGTTGCTGGTGACAATATTTTAAGAAGGAAATTCAATGACTATAGGAAAGGAGGAAAATGTGGTGACACACCAATTAATTGCCACAGACCAACAGAAACTGAACAGAAGACCTGAATAACAGAAGCCCCAAGGAGATACAGTATTTTCTGTGACTGTAACTTCCCATAGCATGTCTAAATAAGAATTCAAAACCAAATTGACAACAGAGAGCTTAAAGCTTTTTTTTTCAAGTAAGATGACAGATAGATAGCTGATAGATAGATAGATAGATAGATAGATAGATAGATAGATAGATAGATAGATAGATAGAACAAGTGCTACTATGGCAGTGCTATTCAGTAAAAGGGAGCTCCCGTGGCCTATGGTTGAGGAGTTGCACTGCCAACCCAGAAACATGAAGTTCAAATCCAACAGTTGCTCTGCCAGATAAAGATAGGTAGTCTCTTCCTATGTGATTTGCAGCTTCTGAAAACCAGCTGGAGGGTTAGCTATGAATTAGTTCCAACTTGACATCACGTAACAACAACAATTCACTAAAAGTAACGTGTTGATAAGATCTTGATTTAAAAAAAACAATTTAAGGAAAGTTTACAGACACTTTAGATTTCCATTCATAGTTGCACACTTCTCTCCCTGTCCACCCCTCCCCCAGTTTGCGTATCTCTTTGAAAATTTTAAAAAAAAATTAAAAAAAATTATTTCGTTGTTATACTGCCTCTGCCCTGCCCAGTCCATTCCACTATACAGCATTCATTCTGGACTCTTTTCATGACAATAATACCTAATCATATATTTCTCCTAAACAGTTCTCTCCCTCATCTGTTTCAATGCAGTATACATTATTTACCCCCTCTTAGTTACTTGGCTCCATAGTCAACAGTCTTGGCACCAGCAGCCAGGAATTTAAAAGGCGCATTGCCATAGGAAAGTCTGCTGTTAGGGACCTCTCCAAAGTACTGAAGAGCAATGGTGTCTCTCTGGAGACTAAGGTGCGTCTGATACAGGCCATGGTCTTCGCAATCACCTGTTATGCATCAGAGAGTTGGACAATGACCAAGGAGGATAGAAGGAGAATTGATGCCTTTGAGCTGTGGTGCTGGAGAAGAGTATTGAGAATACCATGGGCTGCTAGGAAAACAAACAGATTTGTCCTGGAAAGGGTTAAACTGGGTGGCTCCTTGGAGGCAAGGATTCTGAGGCTCCGTCTAACATACTTTGGACATGTTGTGAGGAGAGACCGGTCCTTGGAGAGGGACATCATGCTTGGGAGGGTGGAGGGACAGCGCAGGAGAGGAAGGCCCTCTATGAGATGGATTGATTCAGTGACTGGGATAATTGGGATGGGAGTGTCAGAGACAGTGCGATTGGCACAGGACAGAGCGGAGTTTAGGGCTGTTGTACATAGGGTCGCTATGAGTCGCAAGCGACTCGACAGCACACAACAACAACAACAACAACAACAACAACAACAGTTACCCCCAACTCTGATGTCAGTCCGACTTTATAATAGTGGCATTATGCAGTATTTGTCCTTTTGTGACTGAGATATTTCACTCAGCATAATGTCCTCCAGGGTCACCCATTTTATATATTTAATGAGTTCCTTGTTACAGCATACTATTCTATTGTGTGACTATGCCACAGCTTCTCTATCCATTTGTTTGTTGATGGGCATTTGGGTTGTTTCCAACACTTTGCTAATGTGAACAAAGCCACAATAAACATGGGTGAGCTTGCCTGGTATCTGCTTGTGTGGCAGTTTTTTGTTTGTTTTTTTTTAAGGTATATTCCCAGTATTGGAGTTGCTAAGTCAAATGGTATTTCTATTTCCAACTTTTTCAGAAAGCACCATACTGCCTTCCATGGTGGTTGCACCATTTTACACTCCCACCAACAGTGGGAGTTTCTCTACAACCTCTCCAGCATTTGTTGTTTGCTACTCTGTTGAATTTTACTATTCTTACTGGCGTGAGATGATATCTCATAGTTGTTTTGATTTGCATTTCTCTTAGAGCCAGGGATTTGAGCATTTCTTCATGTGTTTGTTCGCCATCTGAATGTCTTCTTTGATGGAGTGTCTGTTCATATCCTGTGCCCATTTTGCAATTAGGTTGTTTAGTGGTGGTCTAGTATTTTATAAATTCTAGATATAAGTCCCTTATCCGACATGTCATTACTAAATATTTTTCCCCAGTCTCTGGCTTTCTTTTTTTGCCCTATTGGAGAAGTTTTAGGATGTGCATAGAGATTTGATTCTTAGAAGGTCCCAATCATCTATTTTATCCTCTCCTGGTTTTAGGTTTTTCAGGATGCTTGGAAAACTGTTTATGTTGTGGATTATGGATTTAAGAGTTCTTCCAAACTTTTCTCTATTGATGTTTATAGTCCTTGGTTTTAGTCCTAAGTCCTTGACCCACTTTGAGTTGGTTTTTGTGTATGGTGTGAGGTGTGGATCTTGCTTGAGTTTTTTATGGGTAGTTTTCCAATTTTGCCAACACCATTTTAACAAAAGGCTGCCATTTCCCCACTTAAGTGATCTCATCTCCTCAAAAATCAGTTGACCATAGGTAGATGAACTGATTTTTTGGTTCTCAGTTCTATTCCGTTGATTGATGTGTTTGTCATTGTACCAGAACCACGCTGTCTTAATCACCACAGCAGTGTAGTAGGATCTGAAATCAGGGAGAGATGCCTCCTACCTTGGTTCTCTTTTTAAGGAGTGCTTTGCTTATTAGGAGCCTCTTTCCATTCCAAATGAAATTGGAGATTGCCTTTTCCATCTCGTTGAATAATGGAATTGGTATTTGTATTGGGATTGCATTAAACGTGTAAATTGCCTTTGGCAGTATTGTCATTTTTACAGTATTGAGTCTTCCTATCCATGCACAAGGGATATTCTTTCATTTCTCCAAGTCTCTTTTTATTTCTTGTAGTAATGTCGTGTAATTTTCTTTGAATAGATCCTTTGTACTTCTGGTTTGTTCCCAAATATTTAGTCTTTTGATTAGCTATTGTGAAGGGCATTCTTTTACTTAGATCTAGCTCTGTATTCTCTTTTATACTGTAGAGAAATCCAATTGATTTTTGTATGTTGATCTTGTATCCTGCCTCTTTACTAAATTGGTCAACTATGTCCAGTACTTTTCTTGCTGCGTCTGAAGGGTTTTCTTACTATCTTATCTTCTGCATATAGAAATAATTTTACCTCTCTTTGCCAATTTGGATACCTCTTATTTCCTTCTCTGGTCTTAATGCTATCGCTAAGACTTCCAATATAATATTGAAAAGGAGAGGTGGTAGTTGGCATTCTTGCCTAGTTCTTGTTCTCAAAGGGAATGCCTTCCCCCCCCCTCCCCTTCACTCCTGTAGCTGCTGCTGCTGCACCAGGGCTGCCAGCTCCTGCTGTGTCAGTACAATGGGGATGGTAGTGGGCTGGCCCTCCTGGCCCTCAACTGACAGGTGGCCCAGCTCTGCCTGGGTCACTGAGGCCGCAGCTTCAGACGTGTCCATTGGCTCCCCGGTGCCCATGACAGCCTGCTGGGCAGCTGCAGTACTGGCAAAGTGAATGCCTTTAAACTGTCTCCTTTCAGAACAATATTGGCTCTCGGATTTGTGCATATACTTTTAATTATATTGAGGAAGTTCCCTTCTAATAATATTTTGTTGAGTGTTTTTATCAGGAAACAGTATTGGATATTGTCAAAGGCCTTTTCTGCAACAATTGATAGGATCATGTGGTTCTTGGTTTTTATTTTGTTAATGTGATGAATTACATTGATTGTTTCTCTTATGTTGAACTTTCCTTGCATACCTGTTATGAATCCCACTTGGTCATGGTCAATTATTTTTTGATGTATTATTAGACAGGATTTTATTCAGGATTTTCGCATCTGTGTTTATGAGAGATATTGGCCTCTAGTATACTATTTTGATGATGTCTTTATCTGGCTTTGGTATCAAGGATATGTTTGCTTCATAGAATGAGTCTTGGAGAATTCCATCTTTTCCTATTTTCTGAGAGAGTTTATATAGAATTGGTGATTATTCTTTGCTGAATATTTGATAAAATTCACTTGTAAAACCATCTGGTCCAGGGTTGTTGTTTTTTTAGTTTGGTTGGTTTTTTATTTGCACTGGACGTTGTTTTACTACCTTTTCAATTTCTTATTTTGTTATGGTGTTCAGGTGTTCAATTTCAATTTGTGTCAATTGAGGTAGGTTGTGAATTTCTAAGTATTTGTCCATTTCCTCTAGGTTTCCATATTTGTTTGAGTGCAGTTTTTCCATAATATTTCATTGGTAGCCTTTTTATTTTAGGTGGTTCTGTTGTGACGTTGCCTGTTTCATCTTTTATTCAGATTATTTTGTCTTTTCCTTTGTTAGTTTTGCTAGTGGTTTGTTGATTTTATTGACCTTTTCAAAGAACCAACTCCTAGTTTTGTTGATAGTTTCAATTGTTTTTCTCTTTTTATTTTATTTTTGCCCTAATTTTGATAATTTCAGTTTTTCTAGAGGGTGTCAGGTTTTCTTGCTGTTGTTTTTCTCAATTTGTTGGAGATGTTGGGTTAGAGAGTCAATGGTAATTTCCCCCTGCCTTTTAATGTTTTTGCTTATTGATATAAATTGGCCTCTGATTACTGCTTTAGCTATTATCCAGAGGTTTTGGTATGTGATGTTCTCATTTTCGTTTGTTTCAAGAAACTTCTTAATTTCAT